GGCTTTGGGCGCGCTTCGAGCCAATCGCGGCTTCTATTTCGGCACGTCAGAAACTGCGTACTTGGCGGCAGCTCGGGTCGGTTCAAGACTATACGAGTGGTTTTCTCGCATCATGCGAAATCATGCTACGCAAGCTCTCAAACTTCAACGAGATTCTCGCGCTCGCCGAGAAAGTCGACATTTTACGCCGTCCGAGACCGGGGTCCTACTATGGACATCGTCCTCGGGGGCCGATCGAGCACGCCACTGTAGACGCTTTTGCGACGAATGCAGCTGCCGCGCCGTTTAAGGGGCGCTGCTTTTCTTGCAACAGGCCGGGCCATCGCAAGACCGAATGCCCAGAGGAGCTAAGGCGCCGCGGAGCAGAGCAGGGAAGGGAGTCTCCAAGGCAGGGAAACGCCAATAATCAGTAGGAATCGGGCCAACTACTGGCGAGACTGCCTGCTCGCCCAACCCCACCGACCCTCACCGAGTCATAGTAACGGTTCTTGCTATTGATCGGACTCGGACGAATAAGGAGGGTACAGCGACAGATTGCCCAGTACTGATCCACGGGAAAATACAGGGAGCAGCAGTGAAGATTTTTATCGACGGAGGAGCAAGCCACAGTTTAGTTAATACCGCAACCGCACGAAAACTGCAGCTGACACTTAGCCGTTGCTTACCAGAGATAGACGCACGCTTAGTCAACGTCATGCCACTGGCCATACGGGAAAAGGTAGAGAGAGTCAAAGTCTGTTGCGGGGGAAATTTCGGGTTTACACAGGAAATGCTCGCAACGACACTGGATGGGCATGATATTTTACTAGGACGTGATTGGCTGCAATGGTATAACCCGCGAATTGACTGGACGACGGGTAGCTGCACCGTGTGAAGTAGTGGTAACTGGGTCGAGCTACCTTCTGGCAGTCGCCCGAGTCTTCAACGGTACACGTCAACGCCATCGCAATGAAACGGGCTGTCGCTGCTGGAGCTGACGTGTACGCAGAAGACATCGCAGTAGTAGAGGAAGCAAAGCAACCGAGTGATTTCAAGAAACTGCTGGCAGCCGTACCGCCCGAATTACAGAAACTGTTGAAACGATACCCCGGGATTTTCCCCGACGACTTACTGGAAGGACTGCCACCTCAGCGAGCACATGACCACCGAATCGAATTAGAACCGGGGGCACAGCCAACCGAACAGCGCCAGTTCAGACTGACACAGCCCGAGCTCAACAAACTAAGGAAGCAGTTAGATTACCTGTTAGAGAAAAAATTCATCCGGCCAAGCTCGTCACCGTTCGCCGCTACGATACTGTTCACGCCGAAAAAAGACGGGGGTTTTCGCATGTGTATCGACTACAGAGCACTGAACAGGGTAACAGTCAAGTCGCGGTACCCCATTCCCCGCGCGACGAACTGATCGACCAACTGCGAACAGCACGGGTTTTTTCGAAAATAGATTTACGGGGAGGTTACCATCAGATTAGGGTCGAACCATCGGACTGCGCCAAAACAGCTTTCAGGACGTACGGGTCGTTCGAGTACACTGTGATGCCATTCGAAATCGACCCAAAGAAGTTAGACACGGTGAAAGCCTGGCTCCCCCCGACGAATATCACGGAGCTACAAAGCCTTTTGGGGTTCGTAAACTACGTGCGACGGTTCGTCCCCGACATGGCACGGTTAACTGCGCCGCTGACGGACTTGTTACGGAAGGGGGTCGCTTCTACGTGGGGGGAGAAAGAGCATGCTGCCTTCTCTGCCCTGAAAAATGTTCTCTGTTCACCGCCCGTCCTGTGCATCGCCGAACCACACCGCCCATTCGAAGTAGTACCGACGCAAGCGATATCGCCATCGGAGCCGTACTGCTACATGATTTCGGCAATGGCCTACAGCCTATCGCATACGAGTCACGAAAACTGCATCCGCCCGAAAAAAGTTACCCGATACACGACCACGAAATGCTTGTGATCGTGCACGCGTTCAAAGTATGGCGTTGTTACTTGACTGGCGCGGACGTGATAGTACGGACAGACCATAAATCACTACAGTACCTTTGCGCACAGCCACACCTCAACCCACGACAGATTTGCTGGCTCGATTTCCTCGAGTCCAACTTTCACTACACGGTCACTTACAAAAAGGGAGCCTCGAACATCGCCGACGCACTGACCCGCCCCACTGCCCAGATCCATGCAATACTACTCGCCCAGACAAGCCCGCTACTGACAGGCCTATTCACCCACGGGTACCAAACGGATCCATTCTTCACAGGATGAAATTCGCAGCAGTTCGCAGCAGCAAGGGGAGTCTATTACGTAAATACCGGGACTGACCGCATTTGGGTGCCTGGGTATACACTGCTACAAGAATTACTGTTACAGGAGGCACACGACGGAGTTACCTCGGGGCATTTCGGAGTAGAAAAAACACGGCAGCAGCTCCAGCGGTATTATTACTGGCCCGAAATGTTGACCGGCGTACAATGACATGTGGCATCGTGTCCCACTTGTCAGCTCATGAAATCATCACGACAGCGGCCGGCGGGACAGTTGCAGCCGATACCACCCCCAGAGCGTGCTTGGCAGCAGGTGACGATGGACTTCGTCACGGGGTTACCAGCCGGGGCGAGTGGGAACGACGCGATTCTGGTCGTCGTCTATCGACTGACGAAAATGGCACATTTCGCAGCCTGCAAAAAATCAATCACAGCCGAAGAAACAGCACGCCTCTTCATCTCCACCGCCGTTCGACTGCGCGGGATACCAGCCGCGATCATCAGCGACCGCGACACGAAATTCACTAGCAACTTCTGGCGGAACCTGTGGCAGCAGTTCGGCACGCGACTGCAGTTCAGTTCATCATACCACCCCGAAACTGACGGACAGACAGAACGGACAAATCAGACCATGGAACAGCTCATTAGGGCCACGTGTGACGACCCGACCACATGGGAACAGCAACTGCCACTAATCGAATTCGCATACAACAACTCGCCATCCGCCACGACCCAACAGTCACCATTTTACCTAAACTACGGACAAGACCCGACAGTACCCATGACCCCGAATCCGGACAACCCAGTACCACGAGCACAACAGTTCGCCGAAATATTACAAGCAGCACGGACCCTGGCAGCAGACGCAATAAAAAAATCGAACATCATCGCTAAACGCAACGCCGACCGCCACCGCAGACCTGTCACTTACTAGCCCGACGACTTAGTTTTACTTGACACTCAGAACCTCCGACTGCCCATCACCCCGAAACTCCGCCCCCGATACTGCGGGCCATTTCGCATAAGCCACATGCTTACACCCGTCACCGCCCACCTCCTCCTCCCTGCTGACTGGTACGTCAGCCCCTCATTCCACGTCATCTTGCTTTGCCCTTACGTCCCGTCCACGAGCCAACTGCCACGCAAATGCCCAGCCAGCATGACAAGACCACCAACTGAACCAATCATCACCCCCGAGAAAATCCTGAGTCACAAAGTTCGCGACCCTCGAGGAGCCCGAAGGATCGAGTTCTTACTTCGCTGGAAGGACCGTACACCCACCGAAGACAATTGGGTTCCCCTGGACAGAATCGAAAATCACTGTAGCACCACAGTCAGCACCGTTACCACTCGCAACCCTCGCATCGATAATCCGCTCGCCACCTTCGCATGTCGCACCCCGACCTCACGGCTCGGCGGGTAACCCGCGCTCCGGGCCTCCGCTTCGACACTTTTCCCAACCTCAGTCCCAGGCCCGTCGCGCGACAACCACACTCCATTACCGTTACCACTGTAGTTTCGCTATATATTCTTCGCTCATGCCTTCGCTCATTGGACTCTTGCTTCGATGGTGCAATTCTCGTTCGTTCACTCAATTGCACTCGTAACATAATGACAGGCTCGATTTCGAATTCTTACACTTCAGATTGCTATGAATAGAAAACCAGACCAAACAGGACAGTTCTTTGTCAAGTTTATATGCTATGGTCTATCTAGGCTGTAGTGGGGTAGATACTATAGGGTACAACATTTCTAGGTTTTCTACTTGTACCCACATTTCACCTAGTCATTTCATTCCTCGTTCCTTCACATGGTATAGAGCAAGTTCCCTAGTGGGAACGTTTCCTAGGGCCCACCACGAAAATCGGATTTTTTTTGTTCCTGCCCGGAGCGCGCTTCGCCCCTGCCCGAGTCGCGCCCCGTGTGCTTGCCCTCCAGTCGCGTCCCCTGCCCTTAGCGGCCCGTCGCACCCTCTTACGGCCCTGTAGCGGCCCCTCTCACGGCCCCTTGCGGCCCCTTCGCGGCTCCCTCGCGGCCCCTCCACGGCCCTTCCCGGCCCCTCTCACGGCCCTTCGCGGCCCCTTACGGCCCTTCGCGGCCCCTTCGCCGCTCCTCGCGGCCCCTTCTCGGCCCCGTCGCCGCCCTTCGCGGCCCCTCACGGCCCCTTCTCGGCCCCGTCGCCGCCCTTCGCGGCCCCTCACGGCCCCTTCTCAGCCCCGTCGCCGCCCTTCGCGGCCCCTTCACGGCCCTTCGTGGCCCCTTCGCCGCCCTTGGCGGCCCCTTCTCGGCTCCTTCACGGCCCTACCGCCCCGCCGTCGCGGCCCCAGCAGCAGCAGCCGTCGCTCCGTAACAGCCGCCGCCATCACTGCCGGGGCCGCCGCCGCCACTGCCGACAGCAGGAGCCGTTGCTGTCGCTGCCCTGACAGCTGTCGCAGCCGCCGCCGACAGCAGCAGCCGCCACCGCCGCTGCCGTGACAGCCGCCGCCGGGGCCGCAGCCGCCGACGCCGCCGACAGCAGGAGCCGCCGCCGCCACCGTCCCGGCCCTACCCTGCAGAGAGGAGCGGCACTCCTCTGCCGCTCTGTCGCGGCCCTGTCCCTGCCGGCGCGCCTCGGCCGTGCCCCACAACTTGCGGACCTCTACCCACCCGCCCTAGTAAGAGCACCGCCGAGCCGCGCCTCTGCTACTGAGTTGCTCCTACCTTGCTGCTACTACTGCTAGACTGCTGCTACTGTTGTCATGGCTACCCCTAACGTTCTCACCTTTGATGCTGAGGGTCGGGCTGTCGACTTTGCGGTCTGGGTCGATGGTCTGCAGCATTTCCTGCAGTGCGATAGGAAAGACGGTCTCTCTCTGTTCGATCTCACGTCTGGCGCCTCTACTGCCCTTGCTGCCGATGCTGACAGCACTGTTCGCTCACAGTGGGCCACACGCGATGCTGCTGCCCGTCTTGCTGTGCGTAGTCACTTACCGTCCACTGAGCGCGCGCACTTTAGGGCGCTGGAGGAGCTGGCGGGGGCGGTGGAGGTGGCGGTGGAGGCGGCGGAGGGGATGGGGGTGGCGGTGGGAGTGGTGGCGGGTGTGGGGGCTTCGGTGGCGGCAGCGGAGGCGGAGGCGGCGGCGACGGTGGCGGTGGGAGCGGAGGAGGCGGCGGAGACAGCGGTGGCGGAGGTGGCGGCGGCGGTGGTGGAGCTGGTCGGGGTGGCTCTGCGTAGTGGGGCGGATTCGGTAGTGGTCAGCGCCAGCAGCAGCAGCGCACTCGTGAGACCCCGCCCCCCCAGCAGCTTCGTGAGTGGTACGCTGCGCGTTAGCGGGGTGAGGGTGCTGGTCCCTGTGCCTACGTCCTGCGTACCGGCGACCACACTGGTGAGCTGTGCGGTGGCCCACACACCACCCAGCGCTGCTTCGGCCGCCTGATGGATGCTTGGCGTCTCCAGTTCCCTGACGCCACTGAGATCCCCCACTGGGGCGAGCTGCTTAGGTCGAGGGTTGCTATCTTTGATCTGGATTATGATGCTATTCTTGCTGCCATGTATGTTGTGTTTACTAGTGATGAGGGTGACTGTTATCTGTGTGTTCCGCCTGACCCGGGCATTGAGGCTGCTGCTCTGGGTGCTGGTGAGGCTGCTGCTCTACGTGCTGGTGAGGGTGCTGCTCTAGGTGCTAGTTCGCCTGCTGCCCCAGGTGCTGGTGAGTCTGCTCTCTCAGGTACCATGTCGGCTCAGGCCATACACACGCGGGTGCTGTGTCTGGGGGTGCTGAGCCTTGGGATGCTGAGCCTGGGGGTGCTGAGTCTGGGGGTGCGGAGCCTGAGGGTGCTGGACCTGCTCGTGTGGAGTCTAGCGGTCGTGGGTTTGGAGGTCCTTCGGGTGCTTCGTCCCGGCGGGAGCTACCCTCTCCACAGGAGCTGCGCGAGTGGTTTGCTCGGCGCTGGAGCCGTGCTGCTGGAGGTGGAGGTTCTACTGCTGCTGAGGGTGCTGGTGCCACGGGTCCCGGAGGTGCTCGTACTGGAGGTACTAGAGCTGCTGGGCTTGGGGGTGCTCCTGCCGTTGGAGCTCCTGGTGGTGCTGGAGCTGGCGGTGCTTGTGGAGCAGGTGCTGCTGGAGGTGCTGGAGCTGGGGCTGTTGAGTCTTCCGGTGGTCCGGCTGGAGCTGGAGCTGCTGGGGGTGTTGGCGCTAGAGGTGCTGCTGGCGCTGGTGCTTCTGAGGGTGCTGGAGTTGGCGCTGCTGCAGCTGGGGGTGCTACTGGTGCTAGTGTTGCCGCTGGGGGTGCTGGTGCTGTCCCTGCTGGCTCTGGAGGCGATGCGCGGCCGCGGCCATACTTCGTTCCACTCCTTGAGTAGGTTCTTCGTCTCCCGCCTTCTACTGGTCTTGCTCCTTCCTTAGAGTGTCCGCCGCCTGTCCAACTTGAGTCGGAGTTACAGCCCGCCTCCCCACCGCCTGCTCCTTCTCCCTATATTGGTCCTACTGGAGGTATTGCTGAGCGACGTGAGCCTGCGACTCGTCCTGCGTCGCCTGTTTGTGCTGCTCGCACTAGTCGTCGTGTTCCGCGGCTGCGTCCTCCTGCGGTCCCAGGCACACACCAGATGGCACTGCGTCCTTCCACTGCTCCACTGCATGTCCCTTTGCCGTCTCCTCTAGAGTCCTCTCTTCCTGCTCTTGCTGACCCGGAGTCTGACTCCCTTCGTGCTGTAAGTCCTACTATCACGCGTCTCCTGGCTACTGCTGTCACTGACCCTTCCGTTGCGTCCACAACTGCGTCTGCCTTAGTTGCTGAGCTTGTTGACTTTGCTGCTCACTGTCGTCGAGACTACGTTGCTAGTCTTGTTGCTGAGTCTGAGTCTGTCTGTCCTCCGTCCGTCGGGGGTGAGTGTGCTCTTAGCACGGACGTCCTTGAGGATAGGCAGGAGGAGTTCCAGTGTTTTGCTGCTGCTTTACCTCATCTTGTGTCCATGCTGATTGCCCCTGAGGGAGACCCTGATGCACTAGACATCCCGACTCCGCGCTCTTACGCAGAGGCGATAGAGGGTCCCTACTCCTCACAGTGGCAGTCAGCCATGGACGCAGAGATGGCTTCCTGGAAGCCCACAGGCACCTACGTCGACGAGGTTCCCCCACCTGGGGCGAACATCCTCAGTGGCATGTGGATTTTCAGGGTGAAGCGGCCACCGGGTTCTCCGCCTATCTTCAAGGCGCGTTACGTGGCTCGAGGCTTCAGTCAGCGGCAGGGAGTTGACTACTTTGAGACCTTCTCTCCCACCCGGAAGATGACCACTCTTTGGGTGCTGCTGCACATAGCCGCTCAGCGCGACTACGAGCTTCACTCTCTTGACTTCAGCACTGCTTTCCTACACGGCAGCCTGCACGAGGAGATCTGGCTGCGCCGCCCTCCTGGCTTCACTAGGTCGTTTCCTCCTGGTACCCAGTGGAGCCTCCGGCGGCCAGTCTACGGTATCCGCCAGGCATGACACACTGAGGACTACACTTGCGGCTCTTGGGTTTGCTCCTTCTACTGCCGACCCGTCGCTGTTTTTACGCACCGACATCTCTTTGCCGCCGTTCTACATCCTCGTGTACGTTGACGACTTGGTCTTTGCTACTGCTGACACTGCTGGACTCGCCCACGTGAAGTCCGAGCTGCAGAAGAGACACACGTGCACAGACCTGGGTGAGCTGCGCAGCTACCTTGGCTTGCAGATCACGCGGGACAGAGCACAGCACACCATTACCCCGACTCAGTCACACATGGTGCACCAGGTCCTTCAGCGCTTCGACTTCACTTACTCCTCGCCTTAGGCCACTCCTTTGTCTACTCGCCACTCGCTCTCAGCTCTGCGGTCGGATGAGTCCGTAGAGCCGAGTGGCCCGTACCCAGAGCTTGTTGGCTGCCTCATGTACCTGATGACCTGCACTCGACCTGACCTTGCATACCCTCTTAGCATCTTGGCACGCTATGTTGCTCCTGGGAGACAACGACCAGAGCACATGGCTGCAGCGAAGAGGGTGTTGCGCTACTTGTGCAGTACGTCGGGCATGGGGCTCGTGCTTGGAGGGCGGCGTTCAATGGTCCTCACAGGTTACGCAGACGCTTCTTGGGCTGACGACCAGGCTACGTAGCGGCCGTCAAAGGCTTACACCTTCAGCCTTGGTTCCGGCTCTGTTTCGTGGCGGTCTACTCGCTCGTCTTCTGATCTCAGCTCCAGCTGTGAGGCTGAGATCTACGCAGGGGCCATGGCTGCACACGAGCTACGCTGGCTCACCTACGTGCTGACTGACCTAGGAGAGCCACCTCGTTCTCCTCTAGCTCTGTACGTGGACAACAAGGCCATGATGGCCTTGTGTCGGGAGCACAGACTGGAGCACAGAACGAAGCACATTGCTCTTCGCTACTTCCTTGCTCGTGAGCTGCAGCAGCGTGGTCAGCTGCGCCTTGCTTACGTGGCCTCTGAGGCCAACACTGCTGATATCTTTACCAAGGCACTTCAGCCTTGTGATCATCAGCGCTTTTGTACGATGCTAGGTCTTGTGCCTACTTTGCCTCACTTGCTCACTTCTTGACCTTGCTTGTACAGTGATCTATCTATACCTGCACTTGCTTGTTTACCTTTATATATAGTCTTGCGTATGGGGGTGTGTAAAGTTTATATGCTATGGTCTATCTAGGCTCTAGTGGGGTAGATACTATAGGGTACAACATTTCTAGGTTTTCTACTTGTACCCACATTTCTCCTAGTCATATCATTCCTCGTTCCTTCACATTCCTTTCCCTAAGATTTTATGGACCATCATTGTGAATCTAAAAAACCTCTCTCGAAAAAGCTTAGTAATTCACGCATATATTGTCGGGCCTTATCTGAATATGATGAGATGCATTGTATTTTAAGATCTTAATATCCTTCGCTTACGACCTATGACGCAAATGTTGGGCTGAAAAAGCCCTTGGGATCGTTTCAAGAAAAGACTTAAAGGGATGATGTATTTGCGGAAGCGTTGTAGTGAACTTGTTGAACCACCTTGCACTTGTGAGTAAAATGAGGAATGAATTGACTAGGAAACATGTGGGTACAAGTAAGAAACCTAAAAGTGTTGTACCCTATAGTATCTACCCCACTACAGCCTAGAGAGACCATAGCATATAAACTTGACACACCCCCATAGGCAAAGTGGGGGAGAACAAGAGGTCACAAGACCAGTGAAGCAAAGCACAGCAAGCTCAGGGTGGATCACAACGTCACCACACATTCCGAGCACAAGTTCAAGGCCATAAGACCAGTTCACATGCAAGATTATATATAAAGGTAAATAAGCAAGTGCAGGTATAGATAGATCACAGTACAAGCAAGGTCAAGAAGTGAGCAAGTGAGGCAAAGTAGGCACAAGACCTAGCATCGTACAAAAGCGCTGATGATCACAAGGCTGAAGTGCCTTGGTAAAGATATCAGCAGTGTTGGCCTGAGAGGCCACGTTAGCAAGGCGCAGCTGACCACGCTGCTGCAGCTCACGAGCAAGGAAGTAGCGAAGAGCAATGTGCTTCGTTCTGTGCTCCAGACTGTGCTCCCGACACAAGGCCAGCATGGCCTTGTTGTCGACGTACAGAACTGGAGGAGAACGAGGCGGCTCTCCCAGGTCGGTCAGCAGGTAGGTGAGCCAGCGTAACTCCGGTGCAGCCATGGCCCTTGCGTGGATCTCGGCCTTAGAGCTGGAGCCGAGAACAGAAAACGAGCGGGTAGACCGCCACGAAACAGAGCCGGAACCAAGACTGAAGGTGTAACCCTGTGACGACCGCTGCGTAGCTAAGTCGTCAGCCCAAGAAGCGTCTGCGTGACCTGTGAGGACCATTGAACGCCGTCCTCCAAGCACGAGCCCCATGCCTGACGTACTGCACAAGTAGCGCAACACCCTCTTCGCAGCAGCCATGTGCTCTAGTCGGTGTGTCCCAGGAGCAACATAGCGTGCTAAGATGCTAAGAGGGTATGCTAGGTCAGGACGAGTGCAGGTCATCAGGTACATGAGGCAGCCAACAAGCTCTGGGTACGGGCCACTCGGCTCTACGGACTCATCGGAAGGCAAAGCTGAGAGCGAGTGGCGAGTAGACATGTCTGAGAGCGAGTGGCGAGTAGACAGAGCTGAGAGCTGAGGCCAGGAGTACGTGAAGTCGAATTGCTGAAGGACATGCTGCACCATGTGTGATTGAGTCAGGGTAATGGTGCACCGTGCTCTGTCCCGGGTGATCTGCAAGCCAAGATAGCTGCGCACTTCACCCTCGTCTGTGCACGTGTGTCTCTTCTGCAGCTCGGACTTCACGTGGGCGAGTCTAGCAGTGTCACCAGTGGCAAAGACCATGTCGTCGACGTACACGAGGATGTAGAACGGCGGCAGAGAGGTGTCGGTGCGTAGAAACAACGACGGGTAAGCAGTAGAAGGAGCAAACCCAAGAGCCGCTAGCATGGTCCTCTGTGTGTCGTACCACTCGTGGGGAGCCTGGCGGAGACCGTAGACTGGCCGCTGGAGGCTCCACTGGGTACCAGGAGGAAACGACTCAGTGAAGCTAGGAGGGCGGCGCAGCCAGATCTCCTCGTGTAGGCTGCCCTGTAGGAATGCAGTGCTGAAGTCAAGAGAGTGAAGCTCGTAGTCGCGCTGAGTGGCTATGTGCAGCAGCACCCGAAGAGTGGTCATCTTTGGGGTGGGGGAGAAGGTCCGAAAGTAGTCAACTCCTTGCCGCTGACCGAAGCCTCGAGCCATGTAACGTGCCTTGAAGACAGGCGGAGAACCCAGCGGCCGCTTCACCCTGAAAATCTAACTGCCATTGACGAT